GTCCACACGTGTCATATAACAATGAAACAAAATATAGCAAATTAAACTCCACACGTGTAAACTTTCGGATTCTAGTAAAACTCCTTGCTAACACGATCGCTATAAGACAATTAGCGGGACAGGTCGAGCTCACTGCAAAATGACTCAAGTCTGTATCCCTTTTTGTTTTTAGTTACAAAGAAACACAAACTGCATGACAATTTCTTTGGAGAAAATAGATCACTAAGAACTATTTTAGAGAACATACTATTCTCTTGTATATGTTTTCGCACACTACTATCTAATAAAAGAAAGTATTAAATTGTTTTGAAATCAAGTAGATATAAAGAAATGTAGCCAACACGAGGCAGCCATACTTCAAAGGTACTGAAGCACAGAGGCTTTAACACCGCCGTTGAACTTACCTTTAAAAACCGAACGAGATCCTCAGAGGCTGAGTTTTAAACCTTTTCCGATCAAATAAAACCTGACCCTGCAAAATATAAAACAGCTCCACGTTCTAATATTCTCGTGAAGAGTAATGTTTCTAAGCAGGGGTTTTATTTATCGTTTTGCGTGTGGAGCAGGGATTATTTGCCTTGCAAAAGAAAATCGGTGCCTGCTTGTGTTAATTAGTGAGAGAGACGGGGTGATCGAGCTAAACTGCTTCTGTAACGTACCTGCATCTCAGTTTAGCGCCGCCCTTAGGTGAGTAACGGATGTGTTAGGAATGCGTGTGTACGTGTGACTGTGTGTGTGTCTCGTATCATATATTTGTGTATGTTGCTGTTGCTTTCTGTGCAGCATTTAGTGTGTAACACGTCTGAGCATTGCAGATTCAATGTAACTAAATCTACAAGTTATGTAACGTTAAGTAAAGGTGTTACAATCTTCAAAATTAGGTAACGCATTGCTCTTTTCATTTGGATGGACTATATCAAGTTTGGAAATAGTAAACCGTCCACTCGTCCCGAATGTGAGATTATACTAAAAGTTCTGGGATGAGACGAACATTTAGCAAGAGACACTATTTATCGGCAGGAAGCACTAGGAGCGCCTGCTTGGAAATGTTTACAATATTTTAGTGGAAATAGCCTACAATTTACGGTTAACTGGGGGCGGCAAAGTCCTTCGTAAATTGATGGCTCTCAGCAGAACGCGCTCGAGGAGGGAGATATAAAACCCTCGGAGAACTCTTCTCGCGCGCGCGCCTCCGCTCGGCCAATTCCCGGGCCGAATGAATGCATTGAGAAGCGCGAAGACCTGCCGAGGAAACAGCGGAAAGGATAAAGGTCGGAATTGATTACGGCATTTTGAATCTTACCTATAGTTTCCGTATTGAGAAAAAATGAGACGAGGAGGCGGGAAAGAAGTTAGAGACAAAAAATTGTGCAAGGAAGTGTGTGCAAGTGCAAGAAGTATTGGTTACTGAAGTGGAGGACGACAAGCACTGGAAAAATGCGTCTAAAATAGGTTGGGAGTGGGTGACGCCCTCGCAGACGAAGGGTTAGGAGAGAAAGATGCAGCGACTGAGAGAGAGGCAAAGCGAATGCGAGAGAGGGAGAGTAGAAAGCAACGGACGAGGAATGAGCGAGAGCAAAGGAAACGGGAGGTGGGAGAGGGGAGCAGACAGTATATCGTAAGTCTAAAAAGTTTTCGCACCGACGAGAGAAAAATCGAGGCCAAATTGCGCCGGATCCTGAGTCGGAGGCTTTTCAGCAGGGGAGCGAGACCGGCGCAGCACACCAAGTGAGATTTAGTGTTGTCAGGGAAAGAAGCGAGCGAAATTTCCCGCGCGAATGGGAAGTGATGTGAAGAGCCCGCCTCGGCTCCGCTGGCCCGGCTCGCTAGAACCGCATGCGGCGCCGGTAGGCGGACTCGCGCTGCCGCCATGTGCGACCATACGTCTCGATTCTTATCTTCGGGTCATTTTCTTCTGTTTCATTGCATATGTTGCATGCAATTTCGGTCTGCTTTTTTCTTTCTTTTGTCTTTTTTATTTTTCTTTCTTTTCTTTTCTTTTGTGTGCTTGTATGTATTTGAGTGTTTCTGCGTCTGTGTCGGTGTGTACGTGTTTGTGTTTGTATGTGTGTGCACTGTGTGTAAGTGTGTGCATGTGTCGTATAACAATGAAACAAAATATAGCAAATTAAACTCCACACATGTGTAAACTTACGGATTCTAGTAAAACTCCATCAGTCAAATTCGCATTACAGGCGATACGTATACCATGTTTGGCAGGGCATTTCAACAATACCAATATATCAGCGAACAAAGGACATTTACACTCAACATAGGACAAATCATTGCTTTGATCCTCGTGACGACCAGTGCAATATTGATTAA